GCTTGATCTTTGATATGTGCCTTCTGCTAATCAAATTGCAGATGTGTTTACAAAGCCTCTCTCAGCTTCTCGTTTTCAATATCTCAAAGACAAGCTCTTGGTTCTTCCTTGCCTCAATAGCTTCTCTTCACATTAGCACAGAATGGTAGCCCAAGCATATCAGCATAACAAACATGACAGCAGAACCTAAGGCAAAGGCAACCAAGATATCTATCTATATCTTATATATTATATTATAACATAACAAAAAAAACTAAAAATCAAATATACAAACAGATAAAATTAATAAATTTAATTTTTATTTATTCAGTTAAAATCTTTCTTCTACATCTCAATATCCAATTTTAAATTTTAAAATTTTTTAAAATTTAACTAAACAAATCTAATTTGAGAATATCTCTCACCATCATACTTTAAATCTATAAAACTCACATGTCTATCACATATCTAACTCGCATTATAACTTACGTAAATAATAATAATTAAAAATAAATAGAAACCACAGATAAATTAAATTTTAAAAAAAATAGAAACCCACAACTCCATTTTAAATAAATTGAAAAAAAAAATAGAAAGCATACAAAAATAAAAAATAAAAAGATAAGAATTTAGATATGGATCTCAAAAAAATATGATAATATCTAAATTTCAATTATGATTTAGTAATTTTCTATTTTTCTAATATATATCTATCAAAATTTTAAATCACTTAATGAGACAAATTAATCTATAGTGATCCCAGTTCCGGCCTGTCATTTGTGGTGTTTTGGACTCAGGTTTCATGGTTTGATAATATTATCCATGTCTTTTCTTCCTTCACTCTTTGAGTTTGAGTTTTTGGGATATCTAGGGAGTGTTTGGAACAGGTTAGTTGCAAGTTGTTCAAACTTTGGTTCGTCTAGAATTTTGGTCTCTTGCTCGAGCGAGGTTTCTTGCACTCAAGCGAGCCTTGTGAGCTCCCAGTATTTTTGCAAAAAAGAGTCCTTCGCTAGAGCGAGGTTTCTTGCGCTCCAGCAAGGAGTGCATCTGAAAAACTTCTGAAGCTTGGTATTTTACGCTCGAGCGATGCTTATTGCGCTTGAGCGAGGCGACTTTTTGTGTTTGGTCGCTCAAGCGAGAACTCCTTCGCTCGAGTGAGCCTGTTATACATCAGTTCACAGCAGCGCCGTTTTGCTTCATTTTCTAATCCCTTTTCGCTAAATTAGCTCCTTCTCTCTCTAGGGTTCGACTTCTCTCTACAAATACACCTAGATGTAAGGATCTCTTCACCCTAATGTCTTTGGGAAAAGGGTAGAGGGCTACAAGAGCTTCATTTTGATTCAAGAAGAAATTGGTTTCGTCATCTTTGAAGTTCCACCTTGTTGCTTGGGTTTTCTACACTTGAGGTAAAGATTTTCTTTGACTTATATATATATTTTTGCAAGATCTAGATGATTTTTGAAATCATCCTTTGATAGTTTTTTGAAAATTTGATTGTTGATTCAAGAAAAAGTGTAATTTTGAAAGCAGGTTTACCACTTGATCCTTTTAAAATAGAAATTGAGATTTTTGAACTATGTTGATTAAAGAAAGATGTTTATGGTGAGATTTCTTCAAATGTTTTGGAGATGAATGATTTTGGTAAGAAAACATAGAAAATAGGAGTTGTAAAAAGATGTTGAGAAATCATGGATGATGTTGTTACATTTATTTTTGTATGTCAAAATAAATGGATGTTGAAAATTTTCTTATTTATATTTATATAAATGATAAATTTCATGGAATATGAGAACTGTTGTTCATTTTGAAAATTGTTGTTCAAAATATTGATCTAGTCTTGAAATGACTAATTATTGAGGATCCTTGAGAAGAGGAAATTGTGTTATTCCTTAGATGATGAATTGGAATAAAAGTATTTATATTCATCTTGTGAAATTGTAAAGAATTGAAAATGGAAGAATTGTTGCATTGCATTGATCATTGTTGCATTGGTATATCAATTCATTTGATTACATTAAACTTTGAAAGTTGGTTTGAAAACTTGCATTGAAAAAAGAATGTTGAGAAATAAGTTTCCATGAATTGGTTTTAGGGTAAATACGGTGGTAAGTCTTGCCAGGTGGTGTACATGAAATTGAATAGGTATCGAGCCTTCCAGTTAATACTAGTAAAAATAACAAATTATAGGTGTCGAGCCTTCTAGTCAATGTTGGTAAAAATGACAAATTGGTAGTACTTGTATAGTCTACTTGCAGACACCAACTTAGGGATTACCAAATTCATATTTACTGCTCTTGAAATGAATTGTTAAGTCTTGAAGAATTGAAATTGCATGAGATCATTGAGCATGATGGTTTTCAAAAATGAAGATGCGATTTTCTTTCAAAAGGGCATAGCATGGCATGTACATTTCATTTCTTGAGACTTGTATAAAATGTATATACTTTGTTAAGGATTTCCAACTGGGCTTTATGCTCACCCTACGAGAATTTTGTGCAGGAAAAGACGTAGTGATTCTGCCTAATTGAAGGTGTGTGCTGAGAACACAATGTTCTCAATTACTGTGACTCTGATTGTAAGCCAATGGTTTTGTATATGGGTTTGAATAACCGTTATGTGTAACCGGACTTAAGCCTTAGAAACTTGTAAACCCTTGGGGGTATTTATTTACTTATTTACTTGTTGTCGGATTAATGTACTATTGCATGAGGAACTATGTACATTATGAAATGCAAGTGTGGGATTGTATGATTGGTTTTCCTTAAAAAGGGCCATCATTATTGTATTGTTATTTGGATATGAAAATTGGGACATTACGTAATCAATTTTAAGTCTTATTTAGAGAATAATCTGATTAGTCATCCCAACTCCTAGACTTCACAAGCACTGGTAAAGAAGCTAACGGATTTGGTTAATTGAGGTCTAAGCTGTTGGAGATAACATTCTCTCCCTTAATAAATTTATTTATTTTTTAATTTTATTTCTTTTTCCTGTGTGATTCTCTTTATCTGTTGTTGGTATGGTGCTGGTTTCGATTTTAGTGAGGTTTATATGTTTGTTTACAGGTTTGCATTGTAGAGAAGAATTATTGGTAATTATGGCTACGATCGAAGTATCTATGTTCGTTCTGTGCCAAGGATTTTGATCAGATTTTATTTTCTTTAATGAAGACCATAAAATTGAAGTTAAAAACTGGGTATCAAATTTTTTATTTTTTATTGTCATTTTATTTTATAGAAAATGTGAAAATTTATTGAGAATTCAAGATTTTTTATAACATTAGATTTTTGTATAACTATGTAAATTTAAAACTTTTAAATATCATTGTGTTCTTTATTTTTATCCTCTTTCTATCTCATTATACCATTACTGCTATTTGTTAGTTTGTTAACTTTTCATATATATTACAGTTAATTTATTACCGTTATAGTTGTATATAATAGCACAATATATAGCGATAATCTCTAAATATAATTTTTATTTTTTTTATGTGATTAAAATAGTCCATCTTAATAATATATAGAAGAGTTAAATGGTTTCTTTTATATCTAAAAAACTCAATTTTTTTTTTTACTTTTTAATTTTTTAAATTGAAACATCAATTGTTTATGTCCATAAAACAAAAATGATAAACACATATCTAAAAGCTAGACTTTTCTTATTTTAATATGCAGGATATTTACAAATGGAAAATGTTTGACGCCTCAATTTTTTTTCCATAATCCAACATATAATAATGTAGTCGTAAGTGTTAACTTTTATACAAATATGAGAAGAGAATTAATTAAATTATATATTTCAACCAACCACATACTTAAACTTTGACTATTTCAAGATGTTATTTCACTATAATTCCAATTAATTGAATTATTGTTTTTACCATTAAAATTGGTGAAATGGAAAAAGAAAAAATATTGGGATAAGAATGAAAGTTCTTTTAAAAATTGATAAAAATTTAATGAAAAAATTAAAGTAGTTCATATCAAATCAAAACTTTTATTCAAATTTAAAATCAAATTAGATAAATAAAAAAAAAGTTAAAAGAAAATAATGAAATTTTGAAAATATTTTGAAACCTTCTTATTTTTAAAGACTGAAAATCTGTGTGTGTATTATATTCATATTATATTTTTAGTTATGAGATTGAAATCAAAAGAAATGTAACTTAAATTATTGAATTAATAATAAAAACATCATACTAATTATTGTTAAATATCACTTCACTTCATATTTAATAATAGAATTGTATATTTGTATAAATTATAACTTTTAAATTTATATATTTTCATAACAAGAAGAGTTATGTTAGAGCTCATTTAATCTCATTTAAACAGGTTTAACTTTTTTTTAATACAAATTATCAAAATTTCATTAAATAGATTTATATATATATATATATATTTTTAATTTTTTTAAACTAATAATTTAAAAAATTATAAACATAAAAGTTAATTTATAAATTTCATGTATACCACAAGATAAGATATTAAATTACTTCAAAAAAATTATAATGATTTTTTTTTTAATTTATAAAGTCTCATGCATAACACGAGTTACCACTAGTAATAACAATATTTATATATATATTATTTCAATGTGTATTGGTTCACAAAACTAAGGTTCTGAAACCATATGTAAACAATTAATATATATGAACCATAATAATAATGCGGAACAGGATCTTGAATTCAGTATATCTCAAGAATAAAACGAACATATCTTTGTCAGCCATTGAATTAAAGAAATTGAGAAAATACTCCTAATAATTGAACCTTAAATTTTTGGCTTACCTTCTTCTCTCTGTCTCTTTTAATTAGGATGATTATAAAACTTTGAGTAATGGAAAAATACTACAATTATGAAAGGGGAATCACCTATCCTTATATAAAGGAGAGAAGATAGACAGATAAATTCTATCAAAAGAATTCTTGTCCATCAAGGTTTCCTTCTAACCTTAGAAAAATAATTATCTCATATTTGAAATTCTAATTACTAAACTTTATCTAATTATGAAGTCTAAATAAAATAAAACATGTAAAAGATATATAAACCATTGGACCAAACAGAAAATAAATCTAACATTAATGTCTTACAATCATCCACAAAGGACTAATCTCCCACCTAGACCAACTTGGTAACCAAGCAAATACCAAACAACAATGGAGTCTTCGAAGAAAGGAATCAGACACTTCCAGCACCAAAAGGTGCAGCACATATGCATGATTCAACAACTTACAAGACTTTATTCTTCATAACTTTCATCATCATAACACTATAATTATTATTAATATTAGTTGATCAATTTTCGAGTGCACTTGGGTTCGGCGAGGCAAAAGCTAGCAACTCCTGGTCACTTTCAAACAAGGCCATGTCTTCTTTCAACAAAGTCATCCACACTTCTATTCCGTCACCATCTCTTGTGTCCATCAATCCAATTCCAATTGGGTTACCAAATAAAACACCAGTCGTATATGTTGGCTTCCCCCACCCGAAATCAAGTTCGTATAGACCAAACCTACACCAACTGCTATGGCGATACACCTTCACAGCGTCTCCCTCGAGTCTCAACAGTTTTGTCTTTTCAGCGATGAAATTGTTATCTGTGGACTGTTGAAGCCCTTTCCTCAGCTGACAAACCAAGCCTGGCAAGTTTGTTTCCGCACCATCATCTTCGATCATTGCCCACAACAATCCAGTTAGATTTCCAAAAGAATATTCTGGTAAGGGTGGTTCAAGCCTTGTGCGCATGTTGACAGCCCCTGTCAACGCATATGCCTTTGGACTTGAAACTGAAGTTTCAAGTCGAAGGGCATATGATCGGGAGGCAGTCACAGCGCATTTCAAGAGGGCCGCAGTGACAGCCTCGACGCGGGTAGGTTGCTGCACGCCCGTGCTGGTCGCTTTGGCCTTGAGGGTAGCAACTTGCGATGCGTTGATCACAAACCTTTTTGTGACATTCTTCTTGGTCATCTGCATGAATGTCATTGACAACACCGGGCAGTCCTCTCTCGGTGGGAAGCGAGACGAGGCAGCAATGAAATCTGGGACAATAGTCTCAGACGACCCGAGGGCGATGTCGGACCAGGCCTTCACGAAGGCGGCATACGCGACTCCATCGGCGATCTTGTGAGACATACGCACAGAAAGTGCCATTCCGCCGCATGGAAATAAGTTAAGTTGAACGAATAACAGAGGGTTGTTGTTGAAGTCTTCGGGGTCGGGTTCAAATAAACGGTACATTTCTTCGACTTTGGGTTGTTCAAGAATGTCTGAGAGACGACAGTCGGTGACTCGAGCTTCCAAATAATCAACACCCTCGTCGTTACAATCGATAAAGAGATTGTCTCTCAGTCTTCCGGCAAGTGGGTAGAAGCGAGTGAGGGTTTCAGAGAGAGTTTCCTTTAAGCGATGGGATCTTATGCTAACCATCTCTTCGTGATTCACATCACAAGTAGAGTTGACATAGAAGAAAACAACTGGGATGTAATGATGGGGAGAGAATTGATCCCTAGAACAGAGCTTGTAAATTCTAAATTGATTGGGAGTGGGAGAAGATGGCTTGATGATTTCTCTAGCTACTATCTCAACCTTCATCTCCATGCTTGTCACTGTAGATTGGTTTGGTATGTCTTAAAAAAAATATATTTTTTATCTTTTTACAAAAAGATATATAAAAAAATAAAAAGATAATAGGATAGAAAAAAAATAAAAAAATAAAAAGATAAATTATATAATATATCCCAAACCAACCCTATATTTTGCTTTGCTCTAAAGACTACAAGAGTGGAGAATATAGAGGGCCTTCCACGTATGAGGATATATATATATATATATATGAACTGAGAAAGGTATTTTCTCATTACACGTGAGCCACGCCTCACGACGTCAACTGTGGATTTTTTATTTATTTATTTTTACTATCACACATTCTAAATCCTAAGCTTTAAATCTTTAAGTTTTAATTTTATTAATTTAAGATCTACATTTTTTTTGTAACAGACTCACATTTTAGATTCACAAATTTATCCACAATAATATGATAAAAAGATAAGTCTTATATTATTGAGTATGTAACTAATCAAAAGTTGACACCTATCATACTATTTCATTATAGGCCAAATTGTGAGTGTTTTTTTGTGGGTCTCAAATATTTTTCTTTGAACAATTCATTTTTTAGACCACAATATGTAAAATATTCATGAGAAAAATCAGATTGATTCGATAACCATAACCACGTTTTATTTATTGTATTTATCTCTAAAAAAATATATGACTTAGATTTGGAATAATATTTGTCATTCATTTTTTTATAAATAAATGTTATAAACTAATGTGGTTATGGTGATCAAATTGACAAGATTTTTTATGTATAGTTCACAGGTTGGGTTTAAAAAATATATAGTTCAAATTTTCAAAATAGGACTCATGATACGCAAAATAAAATTTGATAGAAAGTGAAAGTGAAAGTGAAAGAAAAGAAATAAAAAAAAAGAGCAAAATATGAAAATATTGTAACAAAAAGAAATAAAAAATTAAAAAGTTAGTTATAAATAACTCAAAATTCTAATTTTCTTGTGTTTTTTTAACAAAAAATTAAAAATTAGTTACAATGCTAATATAGGTTGTACAATAAAAATTAACCTCAACCATTTTCAAGCTAAACAAAATCATAAAAGCTAAATTGTTTTTTTCTCTTTCATCCATCCTAACCAAATTGAGCTAAAGTGAGATGGAGAGAATCTATCTCATTCTCATTATGATGTCAATGCCAATGCTCAATCCATTTCGGTTAACTTTTCCTGTTGAGTAGGGGTGATAAACGAACTAAACAACTCAAGTTCAACTCGTGTTCGACTCATTAAAAATTCATTTGAGCTCAGTTTGTTAAGTAAATAAGTCAAGTTTGCATACTTTTCGAAACTCATTAAAATTTTCAAAATTACTCTGTCAGCTCGGTTCGCTAAGTCTAAACCTATATAAAAATATCAAATTACTTGAACACGACTCAATCAAAACTCATTTGAGTTCAGCTCAAAAGTTTAACGAATTAAATTTAGAACAAATTTTGAAACTCGTCAAAATTATCAAACCAAACTTGAACAATTAACTCTTCAGCTCATTTATCACCCCTACTGTTTAGTAATAATGATAAATAATTGAGAAATTTTTTTTAAAAAAAAAAAAAAACCCTAAAATTTAACCTCAATAACAAATTAAACCCCAAATTTTTAATTTCATCATTTTAAACCCTACATTTTTAAATGAGTTACAATTCATTCTTTGAAATGAGTTTTAAATTCCGCTTAAAACAACTAAACTAAAGATGCATTTTATCAAACACATTACCTACCCACTTTGTTTTGTTGCAGATATTTTAAAGTTGATGTGGCTTATGTGGGCAAGTGTAATCCACAACCTTTGCTGCACCAAGGATCCTCTAGAGTATTTTTTTTTTTAAGTTTTCTAAAGTGGTGTATTGTGTGGTTGAGATTTAATACTGAAAAATTGATGTGACTTATCATTAAATCTCAACCACACAATGTACCACTCTAAGAAACTTTAGGAAAAAAAAACTCTAGAGGATCTTTACTCCGGTGGTACAACCTCGCTTTAAATTAAAGTTGTGGGGCAAGGGTACTGGTGGTTTCAGCGAATTGTGGATCCCATCAATTATGAAAGGAGTTGAGGGGTTTTGTCGCCTTTTTTTTGGTTTTTCTTTTTTCTTTTCTGCTTCTTTTATTTTATTTTTTCTCCGAAAGTATCTTTCTATCACGCGAGAGGGAAGTGAGAGTTGTTTAGTGGGACCCACTAATCTTAGGTGGCAGTCCAGCTAGATGTTTGATCATCTCTTTAGGCCTGTAACATTAATGTTGTAGCATTACTGTATTAAATAGGAGATCTTTTTGTTGTTTTGCTCTACAGTGGTGAATGGATATATATATATATGAAAAATGCTTGGGAGCACTAATTAGTGCTCCCACTAATTAGGTGGCAGTGGGTCCCGCCATTAATGATGTGATGTTTTGGTCTTGGAGTTGTGTTTTTTTTTTTTTTTTACTTTTTTAATGCATTAGTGCTATTAGTGGTGATATTTTTAGTGGGATGAATCATTGTTGTATATATATATATATATAGTGTATGAACTGAAGTGAAAATGAATTAGACACCGACATTAGGAGCAGTTAAACATAACTACAATTTTGGTATTGAGAAAAAAATCTTTGTTAAATTAGAACTGAGTTAATATTAAGAATTTAAAGAAAATTTTGTATAATTAAAAGTACAATCCATTGTGTTTGTTTAAATTTAGAAACTCCAAGTCATTTCACAGAATAAATTATTTCATCTATCACACCAATAATCAGTTCAAAAAATCTTAAATCTAGAACAAAAATCCAAACTTATTACTCATTTCACAAAAATCAAAATCCTACAACATTTAAAAAATAAAAAAAAACAAAAAAAAAAAACTCTAGAGCTAGAGAGAGAGTCACCTGAATGTCGATGCGAAGGGAGGCAAAGAGACAGTGAACGACAATGACCGAGCGACGATGAGCAGAGTGTTAGAGAGATAGGGAGAGCAAATGACTCTAAACTCTCTCTGTGGTGGTTGGTCACTCCAGTTTGGTGTATATTTGAGCTACATACAAAGAAAAAAAATAATAATAATAAAATTAAACATAAACCCAAATTGGGCGGGAATACTTCGTGTTCCCACCAAAAAAAATAAAAAAAATAAAAAAAATAAAAAAAAAACTCTAGAGCTAGAGAGAGAGTCACCTGAATGTCGATGCGAAGGGAGGCAAAGAGACGGTGAACGACAATGACCGAGCGACGATGAGCGAGTGTTAGAGAGATAGGGAGAGCAAATGACTCTAAACTCTCTCTGTGGTGGTTGGTCACTCCAGTTTGGTGTATATTTGAGCTACATACAAAGAAAAAAAATAATAATAATAAAATTAAACATAAACCCAAATTGGGCGGGAATACTTCGTGTTCCCACCAAAAAAATTTGAGCTTTATTGACGGTTAAATATTTTTTGGTCACCGAAAATACATATTTCTTGACCATATCAGGTAGTCGCCAAATATTTAAGAGTAAAATTAGCTAGTTATTTAGCTACTAAATTTATTTCAGTCAGCAAAAATTAGGTTATAACGACTAAATATTTTTTGATCACCAAAAATGTATATTTGCTGACCAAATCAAATAGTCGCCAATGATTTAAAGTAAAATTATGTTAGTTATTTGGTTACTAAATTTATTTTAGTCAGCAAAAATTAGTATACCACGACTAAATATTTTTTGGTCACTAAAAATGCATATGTAACACCCCCAAAATAATATGATAAAACCAACTTGTCATGATTCAAACCCGATATCCAAAGGTTCGACGTCACAACAAGATAAAATAAAATAATTCTAAAATTTCTGTAATGGTAGCGCAACGCATAAATTAAAATGAAATAATTGTGTACCAAAAGTTTATTAAAAGAAACAAAAAAAGTCATTTGGGTTTTTATTTCATCACAAGAGTCCAATCAAAATACAGATAGTACCAAAGAAAAAAAAAAGAAAAGAAAACACAGTGATTTATCTCCCATCTTGATCTCATTAAATCCCGTCACCTGAAAGGGGTAACAGCCATAAGCACATAGCAGAATGAGAAATATTATACTGTGAGTGTAGGGGTACAAAAATAGCCATGGATAGTTATTTAGGTTAAACCATTAACATAATTTAAGTTGAATAAACAAATTAATTAAGTGGCAAAAACTGAAATAAATTACGTAAACAATTATAACCACGGTACAGAACAGAACAGGGGTCACTGGAGTGACAATCAAAACGGGAGGTCAATGGATCCATGACAAACAGAGGACCACAAGGTGGCCAAACAAGGGGCCAATGGTTTATTTAAGTCCCCCAAGACTTGGGACTCCCGTGGTGGTACTTACATAACATAATTGCTTATAAAATCTTTGTCAAATAATTTTTAAAATTTAAACAAACATATCCATGGGTTTCAATGTAAGAAAATAAAATTCAAAAAATAATCCACGTAATTGAAACATTAACATAACCATAAAACATAATTTACATAAAATAAATTATGATAACTCAAAACATTCTTAAAATATATTATGATAACTCAAGATATAATATAACTCATCTTACTATTAACCCTTAACCTTTATTTTCTGACTCCGACCAACTCTCGGCTACTTGGTGCTTCCTCTTAGTTATTGATCCTACCTCTGTATAAACTTTTCCTTTGGTTTTTTGTTGAAGCTCAGTAAATCACTTCCCTATTTATAGGCAATGAATGTTTATCAGCCATCAACATATGGCTTGCTAGGTTCGGCCACCTATCCAACAAGTGTCAACTTGTCCTTCCCTACGTGACCCTCTAAATTAATGAACTACCAAAGCTATGAGGTGATTCACCAAAGCTATAACTGTTTCATTTTTATTTTTATTATTATTATTATTATTATTATTAAAATTTTATTTTATTTTTATTAATTGGGCCAAGATTTGTTTTAAATGTATTATTATTATTATTATGGTATTAATTAAATATTTAGGGTGTCACATTTCTCCCCTCCTTAAAGGAAGTTTGTCCCCAAACTTGATGTACCTTGGTTTTCGAAGAGGTGTGGGTATGTGGCTCGCATTTGGCTTTCAGTTTCCCATGTCACTTCTTCGATATGATGGTTTCTCCATAAGACTTTTACAAGAGGTATAGTCTTGTTTCGAAA